AGACCTGCTTACCATATAGAATCATTCTAATAGCTGATTGTTATTGTCGGTGTTATTTGATAAGAATATGTTCATGCGAAATGGAAAAGCGATAATCGCATCATCCTCGTCACTATCTTCAGTACTTTTGATTAGCGCAACTCTCCTATCAGTTGCTAGTATCGCAAATGCTATCGATATCACACAACAGGTTTGACTTGTTCTATATGAATATTATGCATGCATGAGTGAATGGCTCTGGATGAAAAATATTCGAGATTGTGCGATTTTCTCCATTGGGTTCAAATATCCAAATATGATCCAATCAGTGATTGATCAAAATGGTGTTCAGTTGAACTGAACAATGTTTCTAAGTGAAATCTTTCTATTACGCGTCGTTCATGAAATGTTTCCATATTTCAGGGATTTTCCGACTTTATCGGTTTGATGTCGCGTGATGCCGAAACGTTACCAGGCCCACTCGCCTTCGGGCACAAATTTATGACTGGTACTCATTTTTAGTATTCATCGTTCAAACTGATTACTATGATCCAAGAATAATCGAATATTTTTGTTCGGGTCACTTTTGCTATCAACGATCCAATAATTTTTTGAAAGCTTTTGAAAGGGGAGCGGAAAGTGGAGTTCCGGGGTATTAAGGAAGTGCGAAAGTTTTCGATTAGCTAAAAAATGAGAGTGTAGTTGTAAAGGCTCAGTTGCAATTCAGAAGGTATATAGCCTGACTGGACATCTCGTTTATACCGTAAAACTCTATTCATTAATTCGGTGTGTTGATCAAGCATAAACTGTTAGAGGAACTCAGGAAGTACCGTTTTCAAGCTGTTATCATGTTTGATTGCTATCGATGGTTGAATCTTAGCGATTACCTTGACATCTTTTGTCAAGGTAAGCTTGTTCAGTTTGCGCAGATTCTGAGCTGTTGTGTTCTAGCGTGCGAACTCCGAGAGATATGGCTGTACTTATGAAAACAACTCCACGTTATCGAACTGTGAGAAGCATCAAATCTGAGCCCTTAGTACTTTCAGATCTTATTATCAGCGTGATATTTCATGATCCTTTCTTATCAGACATTTGTTCTTCTGTTCAGTAATCATTTAATTATGTGGAAGAAAATTTCTAATTTGGCGAAAAAAAGTTTCATGCATTCACCTCTAATTTTTATCACTCGCTGGTTTTGTATACGCTGAACTCCTTAGGACATATCCATATATGTCCAGCGTAATTTCAACTTAATGAATTTGTTGGCTCCTGCTGTTGAATATATATTGTACAAGCCTAGTCAAGTATTCAGTCTTATAATTAGTTCATCGATAGTGATGAATTCTTAGATCTTTAATTCGTACAGTTTTTTTACTTGTTGATTTCAAATTATTCCTTTGTTTATTATTTATTATACTAAAAACAAACACACTAAATTTCAGCCCAATCCAGCTCATCTTAAGCCTCAAACTAAGAATAAACCCCCAGTTGACGATGAGATCTAAGTTTAAGAGGATATCAACGCTAACTATTAAGACTGTTCCTACAGACCGTTCACAATATTCTGATCATACCATGTGTGACAGTTCAGTCGTGCCTGGCAATTATAATAGTATCTCTATCAAACGATAAAAGACTGTGCGGCATATAATGAGAACTTATTTAAGAAAGAATATCAAAGAACGAAAAATGCATTCAACAATATAGTGAATCGCATCATGGAATGAGAAAAGATTAGTGAACAATGTAAAAGAATGAGAAAAAGCGAGAAATGCATCCAAAAGAATGAGAAAATTTGTAAAATTCCATAGTGACTCTAACAGAGAATGAGAAATTCGTTGCTGAGCTCATAAAACTGACTGAGACATTCAGCAATATTCTCGGATAACACAGAAGCTTTGATCTCATCAGCATGGGTTTTGCCATTCTTTGGCAAAACCCATGCTGATATCACAAGTCTTATAGATATGCCGTTTCAATAGTAAATGCAAACGAATGTGCACATTCAATCGAAGTAAAGTGCATTAGTATTCGTGATTAAGTTTGTGGTTTCGTGATCGAATGTTTAAAGATCAACGAGTAACTAATTTTTTGTTTGATGTTTTCAGGTGGCGCAGGTGAAGGCTCTCAACAACTTCGACCTGAATCGGAATTCGAACAACGCGAACAAGTAAGCCTTTAGGCTGATTCTCAGTTCCACTTGAATCGTTGATGAATGCAATAAATGAATAAAATTTTGTATCGATTGCATCTGAAAGCACAGATACAATTTCAGGTGAAAAGCGATAACGTACTGCCGGCGTATTGTGAGCCACCGAATCCGTGTCCAGTTGGTTACACAGCAGTTGATGGATGCTTGGAAGAGTTCGAGAATTCAGCTGAATTCTCGAGAAACTATCAGTCGAGTCAAATTTGCATCTGTGATCAAGAACATATGTTCAAGTGAGTCAGCATTGATTCAGTTATTGAGGTTCTTTTGAGAAATTCCATTAATATTTCGTGGTTTGTGTGCGTGATATGCTGATGTTTTAATATCATTGTCTAACAATATTATGTCCAACAATGTGGTGTATGAATTGCAGTTGTCCAGCTAAAGGAACTGATGAATTGGAAGAAAGTCTTCAGAGTATTCTCGATGAAAATGGATTTCACAAGAACTTAATCGCGAAGAAATTTCACGAGAAACGTGAAAGTTTCATGGTTTNTATTGCAGGAACCAAGGAGAAAGAAACGATCAGTAAGAAATGTGAACGAAAAGGATACTGTCCGAGCCAAAAATCCGTATCTTCAAGGAGAACCACTGAAAACGGTATCCAAAAAGGATGGTAGAAACATTTGGTGAAGAGTTATATTTCGACGATGGATTCAGTACTAAAGAATCGTCGAATCGAAGCAATCATAATTTTGTGATCTTATAGCATTATCAGCACCACCATCACCCTCGTGATCACGATCCAACTTATCGTATTTTCAAATCGTTATCAATACCAACCTAATATTGTACCCATACTTCCTTAAATGTTACCTGTAAAAGTATCCGACTGTACATCGCTTGGAAGCGTTGCCCTGAATTATTTATTCATAAATTTCATTACTATTTTCAAGAGTTCTATCTGTGTCAATGAAGTTGTATAATTTTTCAATAAAAATTCTATGGATAAATACGATTGAACTGTTTAATATTTCTTCACATCTTTATTGAATCATTCAAGAATGCGAATAAAATTTCAACATAAGCACTCACTCATTATAAGGTTTATCCATTTACTCATGAATATTATACTTTCCCCAATATTCATACTGTACGGGTTCTTCGTATACAAACAGTTGTACGTATAATTCAACGAAAACAACAGAAACAGAACACATTGTTGACTGCATCATATTCAATTTCATTGCTGCTTCAATTAAGGCATTCGTCTTAATCGAAGCAGCAGAGGATTGCTTCCAATTGAGGCGTTTGTCCATTCAAAAGACAAAAGTAATGCGAATTCAAATTTCAAAATGTTTATGATGATGATGAAAGGTGACCTTAAAGTATATGCAAGATGGCCTCAGGTGGTCACAACAACAAAAGGGAAAACACACACAGGGAGATGCAATGCCTTGAAGCGATATCTTCGAGCTTTGGCTAGTATGTGCTGTCCTTGTCAACATTCAATGACGATGCCATTGAGCGATGGGAACAATACGCTGATAGCAATGAGTTGATAACGTACGCTCATACAACTAATAACCAAGAATCGACAACAAATAAATTTTGGTTTTTCGTAATCTATCAGAAGAAAATCCTAATCGTCGAAAACATTTGTCCTATCGTATAAAAGACGACTACAACCACCAGTGTCTTCACACTTGCTCATTGCAGCAACATTCAATGGTAATACCAAACCGATTTAGTGGTGTGGTTTCATTCCAACAACCAACTTGTTATCGATATTCATCGTGATAGCGGTTTCATGCTTTGTCTTCAACGGAACGGATGGTTTGTTGTGAACATGACGGGGATTCGACTCTTTTGGTGGAGTTATCAGCGCTTCTTCACCGGGTTTGAATTTCCGTCATGACACAATTCGGAGATCATCTCGTCACATTCAAGTATTATTCAAGTTGCTATTCATTTACCACCAACCAAACTGTCATCGTCTTCAGAATGCTCGTCAATATGGACTGCTCTCTGATGAGCTAGATTCATCGATTGGAAACCTGGTGCATCGGAAAGCAATCTGTATCGTGACGAAGTGATAGCCCAATCCTACTCAATGCTTCAGTATTCAACGAGGTCAGAGGTGGCGTTTCTCAGTATTGTCAAATTGTAATTGTATGCAAATTTGGCACGCCAGAGGAACGTCATCTTGTCTTCCACTGATCACGTAATCGCTTATTCATCGTCGACCCAAACCTTCAGAAAGATCCTTGACAGGGGTTCAGTCTCCAGGTGAAGTGGTTTATCTGAGTGAATTCTTCACCGGGCATGAATCTCTGTCAAGCTTCTTTGGTCATCATCGCTCAATCGTGTTATACGACAACTATTCACCTATTCTAACGGGGTTCTATTCAGCTGGCATTGTTGTTGGAAACGTTTCTCGGTTTTGCTAAATTGTAATTTTATGCAAATTTGGCACGCCAGAGGAACGTTTGCAGCTAACAAAGAAAATGCAACGAGCGAGGTATCCATGACAATACTGAATTACCGCCTAATTGGTATTCAGATGTTTCATGGAACTGATTTCAAATTCGTTGAATATTTCAAAGAATTCATTATCTGTTCCAATTCATCATTCCAATAATTCATTATGAGTTCGGATTCAACGAGTTCATTTCTGGTCAAACTCACTCGATGAACTTACGAGATGGCTATTCGAGTCGTTTCTCGGCACTGTCAAATTGATCAAGTTCAAATGATTTGGCACGCTCGAGGAACGCCTTCGTTAGCCTCCGTTAATCCTCTCCGTAAATAATCCAATCCAAAAAATAACAAATAATATCCTTACATT